TTGTGGGGAGGGGAAGGGAAAGGAGTTTGTAAGCCCCTCTGAGACTCCTTCGGGTAGTGAAGGGCGGGGTATAAATCCAATCTCTTCTTCTTCTTCTTTTACCTCACAGGGTGTCTGTTGTGGGGAGGGGAAGGGAAAGGAGTTTTTGAGCCACTCTGAGACTCCTTTGGGTAGTGAAGGGCGGGGTATCAATCCAATCTCCTCCTCCTCCTCCTTCTTAAACTAGCTTGAATTTGTCATGTAGACATGCCCTGAGGAACCTCTTCTCCCCTATGCGGCTTGGGTTTTGCTCTCACCTATGACCACTGGCTCGTTACTCGTTTCAGCTGCTCCTTGGAATACATTTTTTCCCCGGAGGGTTATTTACAAACCCCGGTTAGTCGTTCTGGAGGGATCCTCGTTTTCCTGAACGTTCTGCTCAGATATCGCGGTCCTGGTTCTGATCTTCAACGCCGCCAAATCGTGCCCCACGATGCCGGCCCTCTTCTCGGACCACACGTTCCGGCACTACGCTTACCTTCGAGACAGTCTCTCTCACCTTGTACCCCCCCTGAGAGTAAGTTTAACATTTTTTTTACCTTATTGCTCCATTACGCAATAAATACACATAACCGTGCTGTTAGAAGCAGGGGTGTCAGACATAAGGCCCGGGGGCCGGAATCGGCCCATCCAAGGCTCTTAAGCGGCCCGCGAGCAACTCGTGCAAGGGAGGGACCAGGAGACGGCTTGGAGAGGGGAGTGGGTGGAGCCGCGCCAAATGTGGCTTCAGCATGGTGTGACAACCCCATCTGCAGCTGTCAAGCGGCGTGGGGGCTGAAAACTCCCCTAACAGATACGTACATCAACAAAACAGAAAGGGGGGGTGGCTCAAAAAGCAAATACAAAACAAAATGAAAAATGAAGGCGAAAAAAGAAAAGATGTTTACGATGATCGTGATGCATGTATTTTTGCAGTTTAATAAGGCAATATTTGCAGATTTGTTGCGTGAACCCCCACAAGTTGGAGGGTGATTAGTGTGTGCCTGTCCCAGGGCCACGCAACAACTTTCCGTGTCAGAACACGGATTCGAGTCTTGGGTGTCCCAGATCCTACGCGGACACTTTGCCCCGATCCGGATAGCCCAGGCTAGCCTGATTTCATCAGATCTTGCAAGTTATGACTGGTCAACCCAGGTCGGTGCTCGGAAGCGAAACCACCAAGGAATGCCAGGGTCACCGCGCAGGGGCAGGCAACTCTTGGAAGCTAAGCAGGGATTGGCCCTGGCTACTATTTGGATGGGTGGCTGCCAAGGAAGTTCGGGGTCACTCTGCAGAGGCAACCTCTGTTCACCTGCCCTGACATGGACGGCCCCAGCCTAGCCCGATCGCGTCAGCTCTCGGCATCTAAGCAGGGTCGGACCTGGTTACTGTTCGGTTGGGAGGCCAGGGTCGTTACGCAGAGGCAGGCGACGGCCAGCCACCTCTGAACGCCTCTTGCCTTGGAAACCCCATGGTCCCGGGGTTGCCGTGAGTCGGCTGTGACTCGAAGGCAAAAAAAGAAGGCCGGTCCTTTAACTGCTACAGCCCCGCTGGCGCTCACGCATCCTTCTCTGTCTCTCTCCGCTTAGCTGCCCGGGAAGAAGCTGGTGTCCTCTCCCGTTTCGGCCACTCGCGCTCTCCAGGAGGACCCTTCGCAGGAGTTCCTGCAGCAGAGCCTGGAGAGAGTTTTCGGCCTTCAGCATTTAGACCTGCCGGGCACCCAGGAGCTACTTGAGTTCACGATTCGGTAAGGCTTTAGAAGACGGGGCTTCCCTTTCGCTCTCTGCCTTGGAGCATCTCCTTGAGAGCCAGTTTGGTGTACCGGTTAGGAGCGCGGACTCGAATACGGGAGAGCCGGGTTTGATTCCCCACTCCTTCTCATGCAGCTGCTGGTGTGGCCTTGGGTCATTCCCAGGTTCTCTCAGAGCTGTTCTCTCAAGGGCAGTCCTCGAAAGAGCTCTCTAAGCCCCAGCTACCTCACAGGGTGTCTGTTGTGGGGAGGGGAAGGGAAAGGAGATTGTAAGCCTCTCTGAGACGCCTTCGGGTAGTGAAGGGCGGGGTATAAATCCAGTCTCCTCCTATTTGTGACTCTTTTTATGCTGTTTTGATGTTCCTGTCTCCCTTGGATCTTAAACTTAAATGTTATTTATTGATTAGATTTTGTTTTTAGTCGTTGCTCACCCGAACGGTCTTGTGGCAACTCACAGCATTAAAACCAGTAAGGTAAAAACAGCATAAAAGCAGATACCAAATATAAAATATTAACATTAAAATATTATAACACGCAGAGGTCATTTCGGGGGGGATCGTGGGGGATCGCAGTTCCCCCGGGTGAGGTATGGGGGGCGGGGCACATGACGAAGCCCCGCCCCCTGCTTCCGGCCGCCCCGCTTCCGGCCCTCATTCAGCCAGGAGGAGGCAGGAGAAGAGGGAGGGTAAGTTGCTTCCTCCCTGCCTCTCCCCACCCCTGCCTGCCTGGGGCCAGGGAGGGCCTTCGCAGGGCTTCCTTGCACTCCCGCCGGCCTTGCAGGTCCACCGCCGGGCCCCTCATGGGGCTCGGCAGTGGAGCTGCAAGGGCGGCGGTGGCGGCCGGAACCGTTGGGGGCGGGGTGTGTG